TGGGCAAACTACGGCCCGCGGGCCAGATGCGGCCCCCTGAAATGTTCTATCCGGCCCGCGCGACATTATTCCTAATCTGACGAGTAAAAAAGAATACAGGCTGTGGTGGTTGATGCACCACTTAACTTGAGTGTTCGTTGATTATACAAAATAACCGAAGCTTTATATCTCACCATGAAAGTTTATTTACAATCATGTAAAAAATTTTGTTTTACACTAATTGAGTAAAAGCTCGATCGGTTACAAGCATGCTTCGGTACAGAACATCCACTCGTCGTGCGTAGCGTAGCCGAAAGAGAGAAAAAGAAATATGGCGGACGGCCTGCACATGTTTTTATAGCGCCACCTGGATTTTCAGATGCAGAGCTAGGTTACAATTATATTGGCCCGCCTAAAGTTTCCTTCTTTTCCTTTGGCCCGCTCTTTAAAAAGTTTGCCCATCACTGGACTAGACTTTAATTTCCATCTCAAGTTACGGACGTATACTTCAACAACATTCGAGATTCGTTCTTCCGCTTCGTCTAAAGTGCATAGAACTACGACAGTGACGTCTACCGTGGAAAAGTGACAACGAAACATTAAACAGAGTTCTCGTGTTTAAACGACTATAACTGGCCAAGGCAACTAATAATAGGCATACGGACAAGGTATCCAGCGAGGGACAGCTTCCCCTCCGTAGAAGAAAAATTAAAGTGTAGTAATTGACACACAGACACACAGCACAGACGTATCAATTTAGTATCAGTTTGAGTAATGAATATTGTGAATAGACTAGAGCCGTCTGTCATGAAATCTCACTCTCCCTCCGCATTTCCTAATGAGTTGCCTCTCTCTAATTCAGATCCTGGGTACGCCTCTGCATACAGACTGTATTTCAACCGATGTTCTACATAGTAAGAAATTTTACTACAAAATAAAGGATATTAGTGACTAGAATGCACCACGTTGAACTTTAACCGAAAAACACACATTGCAGTCCAAAGCAGAATTATAATTACTTCAGCAGTTAAAATTGTACATGGAATTTTCACGATTGTATATAAATTTTTATATTTAATAAAACTTATTAAATTTTATATTAACTGTTTAAAGATCCGATATTTTTGGAGTTAGGCATTTTTAGATTAATAAACGGTTTGTTAAGGCACTTTGTATTCTCTGTCTCCTTCGCCACCACCCACATACTCAGGTGTCCCTAGGTCGTCCCTGACTAGGGACTAAAGGATCCCCCTGTAGTCAGCTACTCACAGTACGCTGCCACGTTAGCCACTCGGTCATCAGGCCATTAATAAAATATGTAGTAGAAAATACTCTTAATATTCACTTCAGAACCGATTGTTTCCTGACGTATCTATAGCTATGTTCTGTTAGATTTCCTTTTTGATTAAATTGTATTTCGCAGATATCGTAAATAAAGGGCTTTTCACCAGTGTGAATCCTCACGTGAATACTTAATCTGAGTTCTGTTTCGTCTATTCTAGGTCCCAAAATTCGGTCAATGTTATAAGTACAAATGGTAAACCTAAATTCTTTAAATAAGTGCAATTTAACTAATTGTAATTTTTAGTTAATTGCAATTTAGTCTTTACAATGGTTAACGAACATTTGACCACATTTTATTAAAAACATCAAGAAATTATCAATTTTTTATTAAAAATTACCGCAATTAATTTAGTATATACTGTATTCGACACTTATTATTAGAGATGTTACAATGATCTTTTCTCTCCCCCCTTAATTTTAATATTACTGTATAAATAATTGAGATAAGTTTAAGTTTATAGTTTTAATTTTTATGTTTATTTATTTATTTTTAAAGAAAATTGCTGTCTGTGTTTTTTCGGCATTTCTTGAATTTTTCAATTCCCTTGAAAGCCTTTTGCAGCAACATGCATGCCTCTCCGTACCGTGCATACAATCTACAATGGATCTCACTAATATGCAAATGTGACTTTCGACTATTAAAAATCGAAAGCACAGCTCGCTGTTCGTTTGTGGTGCGGTCAATACGCACGACGCCATTATAGTGAATGTACATGCCACTTGGCAAGGATGACTGTTAGTGCAAAACTGCATTTCTGTATACGCTTTTAATATTATTAGTATTAACCTTGTAAGCTACGTTATTTTTTTGGCAATGCTAATAATCTCACTTATTAAATCTTTCTTGTTCCTTTAAGATACTTTTGAGATAATTTGTTTTGCATTCCCACAGTACAGTGGTTCACCGGGAGAGCGTGGAGCATTTTGCAAAAGATTAGCAGAGCAGTTAAGCAATGAGCTCGGGCAACAGTGCCTAAGATTCGATTATCAGTTACACTCATAACTGAATAATGGAGTCATTAGCTATTCTTCGCGTTACGATTCTAACTGTCAGAAGCCCGTGAGCTATTTGCATTACAAATCGAATTTGTAGTGTAAGTTACTTCCTCTTCTATTTTGTCTAACAAATGGCTTTACACATCTAGAATGACATTTATAATTCTCTCTGAATGTAAAAATATATGAATCACTCAATAGATCTCATTATCTTTGTTATAGTTCAGAGCGTAATTGTCCCTACGATGTATAAGCTTTTATCTATAAACTTAATTTAATTTTACTAATAGATTATAGCTTGTCGCTCGCGTAAATTACAAAGGGATATAAAATTTGGGTTTATTCTTTTTCGGGTGGTGATAAAATCGAAATTTTTATTCAATTTTAAACGAGATGATCATCACAAAAGACGAGAATATTCGGTTTTTGCCCACATTAACGTGGCAACTCAACAATAAAACTCTGTGTAGTAACAAATTGTCGGAGTTTTATTGTTGCGAGCGGTCGTTGATTGTTATTGCGAACGGTTGGATTTTTAGTTCGTGCTGTCAGAATTTTCTCGTTTCGAGTGTTTTTCTCAGTTTCGTTTCGTTTACGTCGATTTTATCGGTAAGTATAGACTACGATGTTTCTAATTTTACGTATTTTTGAACATTCTTAAGCCGAATATCACAATTAGTGGCAATGATTTTCCGACCAATCTCTATTTCCATAACAATTGATCGGTCTCGAAACGAATTATATATCGAACATTAAAATTACTATATTTAACAGAGATTTTATTATAATGTTCATTTGTGACTTTTTGTTTATATGTTTAAAATGATTTTTTTCATTAGAAATCTTACAATTTACATAAAATGAAATTAACAAAACCAATGATTTTCATAATAGTCGTTTGTTTCTTTTGCAGAATGGATAATTTCAAGGAATTAAAGAAGTGGCGCACTTCGGCAGATGGTGAGAAGGAAGAAGGCTCGTCGTCGTCTTCCGCTTCGTTTCCAGTGATTCGGGTGCTCCCGAAAGATGTCGAGGAGAGCGGAGAGTGCACCAAACGGGTGGTTGTCATTACTCCCGACGATAGCGCCTCGACTGTGGTCGACTACCTGGGACTGCGGTACCCGGAAGTTGCAGAATGGACGGTGGAGTGTCGAGGGGAGTCCAAAGTGATGGTCGAAACATCCGTCAAGCAGAAGAAACCTTGGTGGAAAAGGCTCTTCTTCTGCTGCGTAAAATGAAAATTTTCTCTTCCGAGGTCACTTTTCACCGGATATGACTCTGCTACCCGAATACGACTTTGTCACCCGGAAATGACGTTTCACCCGGCTACGACTTAATTTACTGGACTTGACATTTCATCCCGGATTGGTTTTTTTTCGCTTTGAATTGACGGACAGACATTTCTGCACTGGTTTTGTTCAACTTCGATTAGATTAAAGTCCATAGAACAACGACAGTCTGATTATCTGCAATGTGACAAGCAAAACATAAAACAAAACATTATGTTACCAGTTTAAAGACTCTGTTAATCGTCTATAAACGGACAAGGCAACTTATACTGTACGGACATTCAAACTGTATTTAAACCGGTGTTCGACTGTCATTGTGGACAGTATACGTCCGAAGCAGAATTAAAATTACTTCAACAATTAAATTTGTACATCGAATTGTCTGAAGTGTATATAAACTTTCATATTTAATAAACTTTAATGTGAAATTTAATTTTCAAGATTGCATATTTATCAAAATAAATATTAAAGTTGCACACTTTTAGATTTATTATAACGTTTATACTTTTATCAATATTTAAATAAACAAATGTAAATCAATAGTTTCAATATTATACAAGGACTTACATTTATGCATTCATCTTTTAATTGAACTTACCACTAGAGCATTTGAAACTGTACGTGATTTATTACTAGGCAAACTTTTTGGATTTAATATGGCGAATAGATCAGCTTGTTTATATCTAGTAACGTTACTTATATTAGATAGAGTTAGATAACCTATTAAATGAGATTTAACAATTTGGAGGGCTTATCACACCAAGGCCGACAGGGAGAAGGACCAGAATTTTTACAAAAAAGTTAATCTTTAATAATCACATTTCAAATTTAGGTAAGGACTGGTCCTTCTTTCTGTCGGTCTTGGTGTGATAAGTTCTGCAAATTGTTAAATTCTATTTATTAGATTATCTAACTCTATCTAATTTATAGTCGTGGGCTAAAAGCGTCGTTTATTATTAACCTTACTTATATTCTAGGATTTTAAATCTAGAGCAGTGGTGCTCAAATGTTTCGATTGGTGGGACAAATTGCGCATAAGTAGCAAGTAGGCCGGGCCATAAATATTTTATATATCTAAATATATAAAATTACTTGCCCTGACTGACTGATCCATCATCGCCCAGAGCAAACCGCTGAACCTAAAGAGAAAATTTTGTACACAGTTAGGATACATCATGAAAACGCACACTAAGAAGGGATTTTTTAATATTCCTCCTCGGGTGGAGAGGGAAAGGATTAAAGCAGGCCCATTATGGGTTCGGTCAGGCCCACAATGGGGCGACCTGGCGGTGAGGGACGGGGCCCGACATATCCGAACGAACCACCCCCGAAAAATTCCTAGGGATTCCTTGACCCGTCCGGATTCGATCCCGGGTTTCCCAGAGCGGTAGGCTGTCACCTTGACCGCTCGGCCATCCGGCCGTCGTTGTTAAAATACTGAATATAAATGGGGTTTGCTTCCAAAATCCGTGCGTGCGAAGTCGCGGGTAACAGCTAATTCTATATATACAAAAAGTAGGTGTATTTCTGTCATTACAAGTGATGAGTCAGATATGTTTGCGGGGCGAATTAACATGTGCTGAGGGCTGGAGTTGGTTCCAGGGAGCCGTAATTTTGGCACCACTGCTTTAAAGCGGCAAGCTGACGTCAACCGCTTCGGCCATCCGGCCGTCTACTATCGAAATTTATCGTCATTGATATATCGCTAAATCGATTATTTATTTTTTATAATTACAATAACGATACGTAATTACAGAAAAGAAAATTTATTATTTCTGATAATTTATTACATAATTTTTTAATTATAACAGAATACAGAAAAGTCGATATTTCAAATTTAATAATTGGTTAGCACCCTAATAATAATGAATAAATAATTTTTTAAAATATAATATTAATAATTAGAATTTAATTTTATTTATTAATGTTTAATAAAAGCATTTATTTAATTAAAAATAAATTTTAAAAATTTTCGTCAAATCGATAAATGGGCGTATTTAGCCGTACATCATTTCACATTTCCCATAAATCCGTTCTTCAGTTATTAGGAAGAAGGCTATACGTAAGTGCTATTTTCGATCTGTTTCAATCCTTAATTTATTTAATACGTTTTCTCATTTGTGTAGTAGAAATATAATCTTTTAAGGTTGTAGTGTTGATGTAAATTAAAATTTTGTGAAATTACAGTGAATATTTGGGTTTTTGTACAGTTTTATAATTGTCCGTGTTACACGTGGCATGTTAGGAGATCGAGTTAACATCACAATATCCCCATAAATTTTTACTAAATTGATATTTGTAATTAATTTAAAATTTCCCTAAAGTATAATTCGTCAATAGTTTTAATAAGAAAAAAATTTACAAGACAGAACATTTCTGTATTGATTGAACAATAGCCATTTTAATTTGAATCTGTGCTAAAAGGTACATTACAAAGATTAACCAGAAAATATTATACATGTGCACCGTCATGGCTGCTGTTTCCTTTCTTCTGTTTGTTGGAATCAGGGAACAGTTGGGACGAACGTTCTAACCTAACCTATTCTAATAATTTGGTAATTTATTATAATAGGTTAGGTTAGAACGTTCGTCCCTACTGTTCTGTGATTCCAACAAACAGAAGAAAGGAAACAGCCGCCATGACGGTGCACATAGGTAAAGATTAATCGATTTTCTAAATGTAATTTGGATTTATAAAGTTTGCCTGCATGACTTCACAAATTTGATTTCTTGGCAGAAGTATCTTTTAGGTTATTGGTATACCTATTATTTGGATAATAAAAATTCCAAAATCTTTGAAATTCAGTAAGAAAATGTTAAGGTTTCAAATGTTTTATTCTAATGGTAACTTGATGATTGATTTACAGTATAGCATCAATTATCCGACCCCCTGATTAACCGTCACCTCAGTTAACCAACCGCGTTCTAGTCAGCAAATTCAAATGTCCGCTAGTGATGTGGCGCTACAATATTTGGCTATGTCTTGGCTACTTTAATATTATTTTTACATGTTTTAGCTGGCTACACTGGATCGACCATGAAAGGGAGCCAGTATTTAAATGAGGCTTAATTTTCTAATTTTTAAGGATACAATAGCGACGATTATTATTTTAAAAAAAAATTTGATAGGCTTAACATGGAGGAAAATTCAGCAAGGAGTAGGTTAATAGCGATATACTAATTACATGGGATATAATAATATACTACACTAATAATGGATTTTTTCATACTTTTCGGTTATCCAACTTTTCAATTATCTGACCAACCCCAATCGAGTCGGATAATCGATTCTCTACTGTATGTGTAAAGTTCCAATTAGTAGAGTGAACTTGGTCTTTACATTGGCTGTGTTCAGCAGACTCAACAGTTGAGTATTTTTCTGCTGAACGCCCTCTGCAGTAGCACTGTTTCAGAACATGTTTGATATTTTCATGTCACATTTAATAGCATTTTTCATTTACACTACCTATTGCTACCTGAAACTGACCAATGATGGCTGCTTTTTGTTCCAATGCATACATCACTCATCATTCAGCAGATGTAACTATGTATAACAGCTACTGATTGAAACACCTTTGCTTAGTTACAATTGTTGACTGCTGAATACAGCCATTTACAATTTTTCAAAGGTTAATTTCATAAATTAATCTTTTAAGATTTTATGAAATAAGTACAGTAGTCCTAATAGCTTGTGTCAGGAGCAGAGCTGTGGAGTCGTGTAAAAATCTACTGACTCCAACTTTTCCTTACCATCTGACTCCGACCGGGAGCGGACTTGTTACCGAAAGAAACCCAGAAATTCTGATGTCATCACGTGACTTCAGAATAAAAGATTCAGTAAATAGAGTTCTAATAAAGATAGAACGTAGAAACTTTTTATTCCAAAGTTAAGACTCCTCTAAGTACAGTAATATATAATTATGTATTTGATAATTCTTACTTTTCCAGCTGTTATATATAACGGGGAAAGTGTAGCGCTCGGTCAAAAAATGACCCCTCCCAAATTTTTACATCTTTGGACTCAGGGCACCTTGAAATTTCGTAATATGCAAAAGATTTGAGGTTTTTTTTCTTTGTGTGTGGATGTTAGACTGTGGGGGGCATGACAAGGTGAAAAAAATCATTGTTCACCCTGTTTGAAGCCTAATAATTTCTGTGGTCAGAGTGGTTAGAATCGGAGTCATATGGCTTAACACAGCAGTTAGTTATTAAGTGTCAAAGTGGTTGAACTAAATCGTGTCCCTATTTACATTGTAACATCTTAGATGAGAACATCTTAATAGGTTTTACTGTACTATTATAAAATGACAAAAAAGCTTACTTTAAGGGTAGTGACAAGTTTTATTTTATTTTTTAATTTTGAATGCTAATAACGAGTAAAATATTCATTGAGATATAACACATGACCCCTTTTATGTCTTCACCCTGCCAACCTTTAAGAACCAAAATTTAATAGTATTAATGCCCCTTTATACGCAAGCTACAGTGCCACATTTTATTTCTTAAACTTTGTCCATTCTGAGATTGGTTTAATATCTCAGAACAGAAAATAAAGAAATTAAACAAATTAGATGCCAACACACACATGCATGCGAATTTTTCCCTTTTATTGACTTTTTTTAAGGGTTCGGGAGGTCTCCAAACATGTAGATTTGCAAAAAAAAAAAACTTGGAGGATCAAATTTGACACGATTCCAATACTTTTCCGTTTTTTTTATACATAGCAAGTTGCTAAGTAAAAAGGAGTCAGAGTTGGCGGATTTTTTGACGACTTCAACTCCGGCTAAAACACCGAAACTGACTGACTCCACAGCCCTGGTCAGGAGACAAATCGAATGAGCAATTTATTAGATGGCACAATACAATCAATGAATCAATCCACTTGTTTTATCTATTTTTGATCTTTATGCCAACTTGCTTTTTTGTAGTTAATTTATACAGTGATGATTTTGATGTCAGTGATCTGTTTAAGGTAATTAAAAATAGACTATCTGCCCGTAATAAGGCTAAGTTAATAATAATAATGATACGACCTGGCTACCTCCTAAACAAATTATATCGTGATAATTATTAAAATTATCAGATGGCCTAACTGCCTACTTCTAGACAAATTACTTTGTATCTAATTCTGGTATCTGATTATTAACTTAGTGCCTTTTATTATAGTCAATAATTTGGCAGATTGTCTGGTTTTAAGGTACTGGTTTTAATTTGAGTTAGTGGAGTTTTTATATATACCAAGCTGGAATAAGGTAATGATCGATATAACAAGGGTTTTCTGTATTTATATATTTGGACTTAAACTTTCTAAACATTGCTATGGAGCAATGGAGATTGATTTTACAATAAATCAATATATAATAATTTCTAGTAACATGAATGTTACAATTTACAAAAATTATACCTATTTTTCCCATGATATTTAAAGTCTTAGAAAAAATTCTGGATAAAGGATTAAGTAAAAAAATTTTCAGTAACATTTGTGGTTAAAAATTATTTTTGTATCACATTGAAAAAATAAAATACAAACTTTCACATTATCTTTGCTAATATATTCAAAGTATAATGTGAACTGTCATCTTTAGTATTCATGAATACAATGATTGATTTTTTTTTCTTTTTTCTAAATTTTAAAATCATAATTTTTGTAATGGTGATATTTTGCATTCCTGTGACATTTAAATTTTCTAATACTGTTCTGAATGTTAAATTTGACCTTGAGATTGAATATATTTCTTAGAATATCACTTTGCTTATTTTTGCTGTGGTAAAATCTTTTGATATTTATAATGTAATCAATAGGTTTAAGTGATCATTTCAGTTAAGAAGGCTTGTACTGTATAATGAGAAAATAATTTTAGAACAGTTGACATACAGTTGTCTATATATAGTTCTAATGAAAGATGAATTTAAGTCACTTTTGATGAGCAGGTTGTCTGTTTTTAGTCAGTGTTGTTAATGGTTAAGATGTGACACTTTATAGCAATTTTATTAGCATGACAATTAAGAAAATTATTTGTAAAATTGTTTTTAAAAAAGAATTGATACTTTCAGTTAACGGGATGCCAGCCAATATACACAGCAATGGAAAAGATTCAAGCTCTGAATGAGTTTGAGTCTTAAAGGGTCAACAATTCTGAGGTGGAGTTCCGCACTACCCCAGAATTATTGACCCTTTGCATGATATTTGTCTCCGAAGGTAAGTTTTTAACATGTAGCAGTCTGCTGCGTATTCTACGTGTGCCTCTGTGCTTGCTTTCTCTTGCACCTCAGTGCCTGGATGTGGGTAGGCTCTCAAGTACTCCACAAACAGACAAGTGGGCTACTTGAAGCTAGCAGTCACATGGGCTAAATTGTTAAATGCAATAGTCTTCTGGCATCCCGTTAACTGAAAAGAACCAAAGAATTTTGGTTTTTTTCAGTTAACTGATGTTTGAAACCTAAAGCAGGTTTATAAATTGAAAATGTTTGTTCTACAAACACCACTTGCTGGAAAATTGTGTATAGTGTGCATGTTATTACATGTTAATTGCTATAAAGTGAATTTTTACAACTAACGATTATATACATAAAAAAAATGATAGCCCCGGCTTGACTGTGCAATATTGCACTTTGCTTATGCATTACAACAATACTATTTTTTAAACTGAGGACTGAGTGACTACTCCACAACTAAACCTTAAACAGAAAAAAGTTATAAAATCATTAAATGATTCAACTTTTTAATATGATAGAAACTACTATAAGACCACCAATGATATATCAGCTTGTAATTAATTATAAAGCAGAACCATTTCCAATATATAGCAGTAACTACTATTGTACTGTACTTCCACTTAATTAGAACTGTTGAGTGCTAAATGCAGCCATTTAGTGGCAGGACACTTATAAACAGTTAACACTTCCTATCTTAGACATGATATCAGTGTTAATGTATAAATTTTTTTATTTTCTTAATGTATTTATAATACTATAATTGCTTTACTTAAAAAATAACTGTATATAAGATTAATAAAATTTTCAAACTCAAATGAAGTTGAAAATCCCGGTAGACTAGTAATAAACATTTCATTTCAAACTTCAAGATGGATGTATTCACTAATTGCTTATCTTGCAGTATGGCATAAAGGAAATATGAGCTTTGGCAGTGTTGTAGTTTTAATATTTGTTGTATGAGAAATTAATTAATCTTCAGTTCCTTATGTTAGACTTTCCTGTCTTGCAGGAAAACTCAAAAAATGACAGATAAAATTGGTTTTCACGAAATGAATCTGGACGATAGAATTTTGCAGGCTATTGCAACTCTTGGATGGCATGAACCAACTTTAATTCAAGAAAAAGCGATCCCTTTGGCTCTAGAAGGAAAGGATATTCTTGCAAGGGCGAGGACTGGATCTGGGAAGACTGCTGCATTTGTTATACCGGTGATTCAGAAAATATTGATGAAGAAACAGGTGTGTAAAGAACAAATTGTTAGGACACTTATTCTCGTTCCGACTAAGGAACTATCGAAGCAAATGTGTAGAAATGTTCAGGAACTTTGTAAGTTTTGTTCAAGAGATGTTCGTTGTGTTGATATTTCTGGCCAAGTTGATATAAACGCACAAAAACCTATTCTTATGGAGAAACCTGATATTATAGTTGGAACGCCTAGCAGAGTGTTAGCACATTTACAGGCAAAGAATTTAATTTTAAAGGATAGTTTGGAAACTCTTATTATTGATGAAGCAGATTTAGTATTTTCTTTTGGTTATGAAAAAGATGTTGAAGAGATAAAGAAGTTTCTCCCAGAAATTTGTCAAGCATTTATGATGTCTGCGACCCTTACAGCAGATGTCAAAGCATTGAAGAAAATGGTGTTGCAAAATGCAGTAACTTTAAAGCTAGAAGAGCCCGAATTACCTCAGATGATGCAGCTGACGCAGTATCATATAAAATGCGAAGATGAGGAGAAATTTGTTTTGACGTATGCTTTATTAAAACTAAAGTTGATTCTTGGAAAGTCAATAGTTTTTGTGAATTCTGTGGACAGATGTTACAGATTGAAATTATTTTTAGAGCAGTTTGGAATTAATTGTTGTGTATTAAATTCTGAATTGCCAGTAAGTTCTAGGTGTCATATTGTTTCACAGTTTAATGAAGGAGTTTACAATATAATTATTGCTTCAGATGATAAGCTCTGTGAAGAGATGAAAGAGAAGAAGAAAAAAGTTAAGAGGATAAAAAGAGATAAAGAATATGGCATATCAAGAGGAATAGATTTCCAGTTTGTGTCAAATGTTATAAACTTTGATTTTCCTCCAAATGTAGATGCCTACATTCATAGAGTTGGAAGGACTGCTCGAGGAGATAACAAAGGTACTGCAGTCTCTTTCATTAGTATTAAAGAAATGCCGTTAATGGCAGAAGTTGAAAAATATTTTCGTGAAAATCAAGGTGAAGACGTCCAAACAATTTTTAAACCTTACAACTTTAAAATGGAAGAAATAGAGGGTTTTCGATATCGAGCTAGGGATGCGTTGAGAGCCGTGACCAGAATTGCAATAAGAGAAGCACGTCTGAAAGAAATCAAAAAGGAAATTCTTAATTCCCAGAAATTGAAATGCTACTTTGAGGATAATCCAAGGGATCTCCAGCTTCTTCGACACGACAAAGCTCTACATATAGTTAAACATCAAGAGCATTTGAAACACGTTCCTGATTATATTGTTCCTCCTACCTTACAAAACATAGTAAAACACGAAGAAAGAAATAAAAGAAGAAAAGAGAAACAGAAAAATAATCCGGAACAAAAATCGGTTAGCAAATCAGCTAAACGGTTTAAGAAACGCCAGAAAGATCCACTGAAAAGTTTCAAATGTTAAATTTATTAATTATGATAATTTGCAATTAATTTTCATGTTAAATTTGTATGTATCTAATGTGTTTTATGTATATTATCATCATTTACTTAGTTAATAAAGTTAATTTTCTTTTGTGATGATGTATTTAGTTTGATTTCATGTTAGAGCACGGAATTTAAAATAAATTATTATATAACAAAAGCACATTTTATACTGATTTTGTAGCTTAAATTAATTACAGGAATTAGTAATAATGCTTATTAGTATTAAATGTAAATTTGTTCTATTGTAACAATCATTTACTGAACACAAATTTTTAATATAAATGTAATTTTGTATTTTAAAATATGCTCGCAAAATAATTTGGATTGTCAATTATTGGAATACATTTAAAACCAGAAAAAGTTCACATTGTTTCAAAAACTTGACAAGTTTCCAGTAAAATATAGTCTATAATTATTTAGCATTCATGAATAGAAATTGAATTAGATTGTCAAATGAATATTATAACAATGAGGATTTCTCATGCATGTAAAAAAAAGAGTTTTTTTATAATTAGGCGAGTAAAATTCTGTCAAAATGGATAAGAAAAAATTCAGATTGAGAACTCATATGGAGATATTTACATATAAATGTAAATGATTAAGATTTTATAAAAAGAAAATGATAAATTTGAAAATTCAGATTAAAGAAAATTTTGAATAGCATTATTGTTCAACTTAGAAATGAAAAATTAATTTTACATTGAATTAAATTTTACATTGATGATGTGTAATTGTGATAAATGTATAATTGACTAATTGTGTAGTTGTAATAAAGTTTTTATTTAATCACACTAACACCAAAAATCCATCACTATAAACCCTTTATTTAGAATATTTAAAGGAAGTTTATTCTAATATTGGCAGAATATTTGTAAGAATGATCAGATTGTACAATGTATTAGTAAATGTAAATTTTGGATTTAAAAAGTTTTACATTAATTGTCAGAATTCAGTAAATCTTGCTATATAATTTGAAATTATTTATTATCTATACTATTATTATAAAGAGGTAATGTTTGTATGTAGCGGGTAATCTCCGAAACTACTCGTCCGATTTCAAAAAATTCTTTCACCAATATTTAGAATGGAACTTTAGGGTGGACATAGGCTGTATATTATTCTGTTAAACATTCATATAAATTAAAAGATATCATCTAGGGTAAAGGCTTTTATGTCCAACAAATGGTGCTACGAGTATGATGACCTAAGTTTGCTTTTCTGTGAGGATGAACTAAAGCAGATCATCATCTATCTATCTATGTAAATAAAAATGTAACGTTTGTTTGTTCCTACAGATTCCTTTGAAATTTTGACACAACGCTGCATTCAGATACATACGTGTTTTTATATAATATACATGTCGAAATCCCCCCACTAGGGGGAGATGGATAGGATTAAGGCTTACCGTGAAGAACTCTGCTTCTATTTATACTATTTTAGATGCGGTTTTTTGCGTTTTAATAGGGTACATCAAGAGAATGTACACTAAGAAGGGATTTTTCGAAAAATTCCTCTCCCCTCCACAGGGGAAGTGTTATACATTTGTAATAGATACGTTTTGAGCCACAACAACGTGTGGCGGGGTCTGCTAGTTTTAACATAAATAGAATCCACTAGATCTAATGTATATTTTTGTTCATACAGTGATTCAAAAAAGTTTACCTACCAGCAGTTAAAAATGTTTTTAAATGTCCCAGAAGACCTTGATATTCGTTACTTCCATTTTTTTGTGTGTTTAATAAATTGCTTGATATATTTATAAATTTATAAACTTTTTTAAACAATGAGCATTGTATATAAACATAAAACGTAAAACAAACCCATTTACAAAATGCATGCCAAACAAGTCTTCATACAAGTAAATTCTTTCCCAAACTCTTGACCCGAAATACCTCTAAAAGTTCAAATTTATCCATTACTAGCTATTATACATTATTAAAATTAGACCCATTTTGGGACTGTTTTTTGTTCTTACTAAATTATCATGTAAAGAAAATACTAACACTGAAATATGAATTGAATTGTCACCAAATATGCATCAATTAATAATTATACTGTAATGAAGAAAAAACTTAATGATATAGGAAATATTATTGGAAATCAACAGGCAATGTACTCTTGGCGATCTGTTTTATCTGTGAATTTCTCCAAAAGAATATATAACTCCCATGCAGTCTTTTTGGATACTTTACCTGACATTTTTTTTCCATATCACATATATATAACACATTGGTGTTTCAAAACTGCCCATCCAGTGTAATCATATTTTTTTCAATCAAACTGATTGTAGTGTTATTTCCTCAGAAATTCATTGAAGAACTTCTGTATTTCTTTCTTTTTTAATCAAACTTATTTTTTCCATTCTTCAAATTCATGTCTAGCTGTGTAGCATGTTTGCACCAGTACAGTTAAGAGTTTAAGTTTTGACAGTATACACTGCATTACGAAGGGCCAAATTTGGCACTTTTATGATCTTTTCCTTTAAATTTTTGAAGATAGCATGTTTACATTTCAATGCCATTGCTGTTAATCTATCTCAGGTATTTCAAAGTGGTTAACCTGTTTTACTGTTCTTCCATTAATCATAGTATTAATCTTCAAAAACCCTGCAAAGGTTATCATGCAACTTTTTTAACATTTATTTTCATCCCATTTCTTTCTGCTGTTTTATATATTTTCTGAATCATAGCTGGTAGTCTTCAAACTGCCCACCATGATTGATCACATGTGAATTTTATTGAATTTATGATTCTCCTATACTTCTGTTTGTGTATATTCCAGATAATATATCTATCAGAATACTTTCAGCAAAAACATTGAACAGTTCAGACAAACGAAGCATCTCCTAACGCCACTTTCTTTTCCAACTATATCAATTAGCTCGTCATTCAGTTTGATCATAGCCTTCTGTCCACGATATCAGTTGATCAATTTAATAATTCATGTCAAACATCAATTTTTTCAAAATTTGAAACAGTTTATCATTAATTAATTTCTTTGCATTTGGAAAATTAAAATGTCTAATTAATAGAAATTTTATATTTAGACATTGAATTGTCAATAGGAAATATTTACTTTTCTGATCAGATGTGTAAGATTTTTGTTTCTGATTGATAAAAATTTAATTTTAAACATTACGACATGTTGAATTTCAGAATGGCGGACACAGCTCCAGCCGGTAGAGGTGGATTCCGAGGTGGTTTTGGATCTGGTGGACGTGGGAGAGGCCGAGGTAGAGGTCGTGGCAGAGGAAGAGGACGTGGGAGAGGAAAAGAAGGTGAAAAAGAATGGGTGCCGGTCACCAAATTGGGTCGTCTCGTGAAAGATGGAAAAATTAAACAGTTGGAAGATATCTATCTGTTCTCTTTGCCAATCAAGGTAAGTTATTAAGTCTAGTTTGTGTAGTGACTTTTAGTGTTTTACGTGTATGTCCTAGAATAGTGTCTTTGTTGTGCACAAATGTAATTTTTTTTTAAGTTCAGATTAGTGTCATACACTGGTTTATTCAGGACATTGTTAATCACTGCCATGACATCACATCAGTCTAATCTAGATTATTTTTCACAATACAGCCTGTAAGTCATTGTGAATTAATGTGTGCTAGTGGCTGTAATAGCTGTTTGCAGAGTTTTTCTTATTCTTTCTGCTCTGTGAGCACTTATCAAACTCATTGTGGATTCTAGGCTAAATGTTGGGAAACTGGAGCCTGACATATGTGGGACAAACATTTGTGAAAATTCCTGTGGATTTTTGACTGTAGTGGGCAGTAGTGGATACAAGGAGAGGGCTGTGGGGTTTAAGTCCTATTTGACACACACACACACACACACAAAATTAAAATTTCTGTTCAAACTTTTAAAGCATTTATGATGGCAAATATGGTTTATTCAACAATCCATAATACAATTGTTGGGCATATATAAACAAAACATACTTATTATTTGGATATTTTTAATTTTAAGTTAGCTCTCTCTTTGTACTTTTTTATCCATCCTTAATCCTGTGTCCTTCCGAATTGGTAGGCTGATGTCCTAACTGTCTTGGTCATCTGGTTGGTCAAAGTCTGTCTGGTTGGATAAAGTTTGATACACTATGAAAAGATTTATGAAGGATGAATATTTACTAAAGTGCATGGGACATCAGACAGTAATTTATTTGCAGTTTACATGACACTAACACTTTTTGCTAAACATCACTTAATCTAGAAACTAGTCTAGGCACTATCCAAATGATGGTACTTCAGTGTATACATGAGACTTAGACATTAAAGTGTCATGGTATAGATTTACCTTTAGAATAAGTTTATTTTTCTACTTGAATAGAATGCAATTCTAGTAAATAGTGATGTGTTACTAAATGTTCAACAAGTGTTGGCAAATTATTTCAAAACTTATAAAAGTCTATTATGTATGAAAAGATAATTTTTTCTTTTTTTTCAGGAATTTGAAATTATTGATTTCTTTTTGGGATCCTCATTAAAAGATGAGGTATTGAAGATTATGCCTGTTCAGAAACAGACTAGAGCCGGTCAACGAACAAGATTTAAAGCTTTTGTAGCTATTGGCGATTCTAATGGGCATGTTGGTCTCGGAGTAAAGTGTTCCAAAGAAGTAGCCACTGCCATTCGTGGAGCCATTATTTTGGCCAAATTATCTGTTATTCCAGTGCGTAGAGGATACTGGGGAAATAAAATCGGCAAGCCTCATACTGTCCCTTGCAAAGTAAATTTTATTTTATTTTTATAGGCTTATTTTTCTATTACTTATTTCAGTTATTAAATTGAAAATATATTTTAGGTAACTGGAAAATGTGGAAGTGTTTTGGTGAGATTGATTCCAGCACCTAGAGGAACAGGAATTGTTTCTGCTCCAGTCCCAAAAAAATTGTTGACAATGGCTGGTATTGAAGATTGTTATACATCTGCTAGAGGATCAACTGCCACTTTAGGAAACTTTGGTATGTATGTTTTCTATATTATAATCAACTAACATTTTGCACTTATGTTGTATTATACATCCTAAAAGTTTGCCAAATACAAATGATAGACAATCAATAAAAGTGCAAAGTTATATATCTGATTATAAGTATGCTTTCCTTTAGTTTTTTAATACTTAATTGTATGTTAAGGAGAGTCAGGAATAAGTTTTCATAGAACTTTGCAGGAAACATTCAATAACAGAGTGAATTGTGGCAGAACAGTAACAGGGTTGTTCTGGAAGATGCCTAGTGGTCAAGATTTGTACTACTGGCACTGTTGTTAATTTATATAAGTCTGATAAATTAGGTCATGTTAAAATGAAAATGACGTGTAGTTTGTTTGGCTGAAAACTAGTTTTGGATGAGGTCGACATTCCATTTTTACATCAAAATTTATCAAACACAGAAATTTATACAAGTTTTCAAATTATTTCAAATATTTTTGGACACAGCCTCTCTATTATTTTCATATTTTTTTATAAGAAGAAAATAATTTAATTAACAACTTTAAAACAAATCAAAAGCATTTAAGTTGAAGCATTAATTTATATGTTGTTTGTCATGACATTTGGAAGTGTACATCATGAACATAGATACATTGCAGATAACACACAAAGTAATTCTAACACATAATTTATATACATGACATATATTAGTAATATAGGATATCTTGCACGTGATGTCCACTTCTTGAATTAAATTTCCATTTTATATATACACCTAATTTGTTTTTACACAAATTTTTTTAAACAATTTTGATTTAACACAATTTAAAAAAAAGTAATTTGTGAAGTATGATCTTAATGAGGAATGAGTTTAAAAGTTTTAACATGATCTGAAATCTATATATATAACCCATTCAACGGGTGTCCGTCTGTCGCGTAACCGTTTGATAACGGACACTAGAGGCGCCCCTATCGTGTGTCATATTTCAAACATTCAAATTAACAATTTTAATTCTTATTTAAATTAACAATATAAATTTTTATTATTCATTTGGCCAATAAATTATTATTTGGTCAATATAACAATATAAATAATTCAGTATATTTGTAATAGGAATTTATTATTTCAGGGGCTTATATCTCTC